AAAGGGATACAATTCTAATTAAATTTCCATCCTCAGTTTTAGCGATGGAAATTATTTGTTACATGTTGCCAGCATAACTTTATGCATTAGACAAACAGGTATTCAACCCTTCATTAAACCTGAGGTGTGATAAGTTGCAGGCCTGCATTAAGCTTGTCATGCTCTTGCATCAGCCTCGTCTCAAAGAATGAATGATAGTCTGTTGGTTGCGGCGTTTCATTTAGCTAATGAAAAAGTATCTTCGTGTTAGATGTCAAGTACTACAACAGGGTCACATTCTGCCACTTTTATTTAGTAGTGCTTTACTCCATGAGTAGAGGCATTGATGTGAGTGAGACTACTCACATAGGCCAAATTGTGAATCACTTATAAATGTTTATTCACAATGGCCCCATTCATGCAAAGAGCTGCTCAGCACAACATGAGTAATCGGTTCATAATCAGGCCCAGCTTAAGGTACTATTCAGCTCTGGTAAGGATGGCAGAATCTGGCTCACGCTGGCTTAAGGCCAGACTCAGATTTTTTAACCAAGATGAGTAGCTCCTTATTCCACAAATAGTGCAAATAGAGCCAACAGAGCTCCTTGTGGGGTTCTCTTTTTATAAAAAAAAAATAAAAATATCTAGAGGCATTTCAGTATATGCAAATAATTTGAGTAGGTTTCTATTCAAGGTAAATTATTTTATTTTCCACTGGACTATACTGCCACATTTGACAGGACTTGTGTTCTTGTGCTTTGATTTTGTGCACTTAATGATTTCTTAGCACGAGCAACTAATCTTTTCGCTGCTTCTTCAACATGTGGCAAATGCACTAAAAACAAAAGGAGGTGATTTACATAGCCTTCCTGCCAAGTACTTTAACTAATGTTTGAGATATGTGATCATCATGCAATGCTGAGAAGTAAATTTATAGAACTTCTGGGCAAAGAGTCCCTATCCTGTTAAAAGAGAAAGTGAAATATTGTTGTAATTATTGCTGTGAAGAATTTGTGATGACATAGCGCTGGGCTCTTTTTTCTCCTATGATTGATGCATCAACAATTTGAAAATGTTAAGCCTGTATTTGAAACAAATTTTTGAGCAGATGTAAATTTATCTATGAAAATTAAAATTCCTCTTTAAGATTTGTACAGAATCAAATGAGTAATAGACAACACTGCATTTAACAGCTAAAGACCCAGCCTCCTTACCATAAAGATAATCAGAAAAATTTGACACAACTGATTTCTATCTACTGTTTAATCAGCAGTGTTAAATACCAGAGGAACATGTCAATGAAGGTATCTTTTGTTGCTGAGAATAAGCTGAAATGAACTATATTTCTCATTTCACTTCTCTACCGTAATACTATTTTACACAGTCAAATGCTGAAAAATTCCATTTCAGTATGTGAAAGGCATTTTATTTTGACTGTAAACTTTATGGTAAGGCCCTGAAGTATATAATTTAACAAATATGACCAATACCGTGCATTTAATACTGAGATACTTTAGCAAAATAGAAGTAAATTATTTTATTTTCAAAGAATAAAATATTACAGTGTGTTCAAAATAACACAGGTGAGTTAATATTTTATTGATAAATTACTAAATATCAGAGATCTTTGGAAATCAGAGTTAAATCAGACTGATCAGAGTTAGAACTCATTTAAAACACTTACACTGCTAAAATTCAAAATGTTTCCAGGGGAAGTTCTTTCTGTGATATGGCACTGAGTTTTTCCCCCGGCACTTTCATAACTATTAACAAGTGGCCCACTCATCTCCAGAATACACCCTTCTTATCCCTTTACAGTGATCTTTTTAGATTTGGATGGCATCAGAATGATAGTAAGACCTTGTGAGTTACCCAAAAGTCAGTACCCATTTCTCTTACATCGCTTTTAAGTAGCCCAAAGAAGCTGAAGTATATATCTAGTTTAACTGGGTTTACAGTTGCTTTGTATTGCCAGTGCAACACAAAACAGCTGTGGTACAGTGGTGAATTATCACATGAAATATTGGTGGTATAAGCAAACTTATTAAGTAAACATCCAGAATGCAAAGTAGTGGTAGTTGAGAGAACATATTTTAGATTTAAAATTTATAAAATAAACTGCAGGCTAGGCAAGCACTGAATGTGAGGTACGGGTATGAGAGGAGGAGTGTGCAGTGACTATGGGGGTATGACGACTGGGAACAACAGAATAATCTGGGAGGACAGTCAGGGTGCAGTGACGGAGTAAGGAGGAAGCCTAAACCCAGTGCAGCCCTACCTTCCCTCTCTTGCCTAACTTCCCCCACCTAAATCTCACCAGGACCTGTGAACATAAGGTTAATTTTATTGCCAACTCTTCTATCTCTATTTTAAGAACAGTATGGGTTTAAGGAGGGATATAAAGAACCCAAAAAGTAAGTCTTGAAGAGGCAGGGCTGGTAGGTGTATGACTGTCAATGCCAATAAAAACGTATCGGGAAGTTAAAGAGTAATTTTGTGGAGAAGCATCTCTAATCATGAATTTCAGGTTTTCTTTCCCCACGTTTTTAAGGCAGCATGAATGCAGAATGTTGAAGCACAGTGATGGTCAGACCAGTGAGTCTACCAAATTCCTGAAGCATGGCCATTCTCCTGTGCACCACAAACTCATTAAACCTGATACAGCTGTGGCATGCAAATGGAACATATCACAACACTCTTACATAAGACCTATTTGAGATAATGACCTGTTTCTGCCAGTTATTTTTGCTCTATTTAAATAAAATTATAAAAATTACACAGTTCCTCACCAAATCTCTTCATTCAAAT